GGAGGGAGCTTTGTAAATAGACCATCGCTTTTCAAATTTACCAGCTTTCAGTCTCAAATAATAAGCTATTTTTTCCATCCCATAACTTTCCTCCATTCTATCTGTCCATTGCTGTAATTTTAAAGGGTCATCCTTCAGCCAGTTTCTTGTTGTTACTTTCTTATTAGCCAAGAGCGTCACTTTAAACAAACAGAAGTCCTCCATTCGTACAAAACCCGTGGGTCATTGGATATTTTATAGCCAAATACCTCTTCCATTACAATTGCAATATTTTCCCAAAAGGATTTTATTTTAATACATTTCCAAACACATGAGAATGATTGGCACTCCTTACACCACACTGCCACTTTTTAAGAGTGGGCTCACCTCTGTGTCTGTCTATGCTGCTCTTGAAGTAAACTGACTCTGTGACACTGTATTTTTCAAATGTTAAAAATGACTTTTACTGAAGCTGTGACAGAGCTCCACAGTCTCATGTTCTTACTTGAATGTATATCTTCTTTTATGTTGTTAAAAACTAGGGATGTAACAATAACCGAAATATCGTGATATTGTATCGTCAGAGTTCTCACAATAATATCGTGGACCATCACAGTATACTGAATTACAAGTTTCTTTGCTTAAATTAAGAGTTATGGTGCAGCAAAAGCTAAAAAAAAAGACAGAGGGAACTACACAGTTGGTGCTCCCCTCCCTGTGTGTGTGTGTGTGTTTGGGCGGAGTCTCCTGGTCCTGATTCATCGCACCTGCAAGCAATCAAGAGCCACTACTTGACACCTGCTCACCTGTGAGACTCTGCCAGATTGTTCCTACCTGCACACGGTGAACCTCTTGGCTCCTAGATTCTACGTTTTTGCTGCTTGCCTTTTGCCAAACATTTTTCTTACTTGCGTTCTCTGCCCTTCAGTGATCCCTGCCCTGCTCCAAGCCCTGCTCCAAGCCCTGCTCCAAGCCCTGCTCCAAGCCCTGCTCCAAGCCCTGCTCCAAGCCCTGCTCAAGCCCTGCTCCAAGCCCTGCTCCAAGCCCTGCTCCAAGCCCTGCTCCAAGCCCTGCTCCAAGCCCTGCTCCAAGCCTGCTCCAAGCCCTGCAAGCCCTGCTCCAAGCCCTGCTCCAAGCCCTGCTCAAGCCCTAAGCCCTGCTCCAAGCCCTGCTCCAAGCCCTGCTCCAGCCTGCTGCCCTGCTCAAGCCCTCAAAAGCCCTGCTCCAAGCCCTGCTCCAAGCCCTTCAAGCCCTGCTCAAGCAAGCCCTTCCAAGCCCTCTTTTGCAAAATAAATTCTCCTTTTCCATTTTTTAACCGGTCTGAAGTCCATTTTTGGGTCCCTCCATTGTTGCGCCATAACACATAGACCATGATCCTTTGCTCCATTTCAATGTCGACTACAAGAAGAAATAACAGTTCTAACACTTAAGTCTTAGTTCTTTGAGGTAAGTCTTTTCAAGGCATTAAGAGGAAAAAGAAACATATTCACATTTGTTCACCTCCACAAAATATCGTAATAAACATCGTACCATGAGATGTATATTGTGAGAATATCGTACTGAGAGATTTGGATATTGTTACATAGGATGACCAAATGTCCGTTTTTCACGTTCTGTCCTGGTGGGAGTGCCACGGGACCTCAAAGCTCACCAGGACACCAAAAAACATTAAAAAGCTTTACCAGGTGAGAGTAGCTCAATGTCGATGACAAGGCGCCACGTCCCACCCCCCTACAGTGTCCTGGTTTTGACAAACAAAAATATGGTCACCCTATTGTTACATCTCTCATCGTGAGCCTCCCCACCATATCATGAGCTTTCCCACGATATCGCACTGAATATGGTACTGTGAGGTTCATACCGTGACAATATCGTATCATGAGACTTGGATATCGTTGCATCTCTATTAAAAATCTGTTCAAACACCTTAAGTTATCAAAGTTGCTGCATGTTTAGCTCCTTGCCGTATATCCAGCCTTTTCTGTGGCAGAGCCCAGACTGTAGAACAACCTTCCTGTCAGATCCTCTCAGTCTGTAACGCAGTTTAAGACTAGACTTAAAACTCACCTATTCTCCCTGACATTTAATACTAACTAGTCAGGTTATCTTGCTGTTTTTATTGTAGTTTTCACATGTTATCTGTATATCTGTATATATAACTGTTTCTTCTATTTTGTTGACTTGTATGTGAAGCACTTTGGTCAGATGAAGTTGTTTTAAATGTGCTATTTAAATAAAATTGCATTGAATTGAATCCACAATTCTAAAGGCACATGGAAAAGGAATATGAGTATCCTGGTTTCTCGGAGCACATGTAAACACCAACATATCCAGAATACTTTCAGAACAGGGATAAGGCTCAGAACTGTGATTCTGATGCACATGTAAACACACTCAGGGAGGGAATTCTGGAGCTTCTGAGCTTTCACACGAGGCACAGTCTAAAGTAAAGCACTAAAGAACATGTGTTTATCAGGGCTGAGTATGACAAATATTCAAATCTTTTCTGTCAGACACTTGCTGCTGAGAATGTGCCCTGCCCCTGACACATGGAGAGTCTGTGTGCAGAGAATACCACAGATACACAACTATAATATACAGATACTATAATATACACAGATACAGAAGTGGACAGGAGCAGATCAGGCTGTGGGGCTTTGTGCTCCTGAGGACAGACATCAGCAAGTGTTTCAAATATAACATTAGATTTGTATTCAACTCTTTTGACTGCAAGACATTTTGTAGCAAGAATGTGAACAAGATGAACTCTCATCAGCGCCCAAGGATTATACTAAGACTGTAACAATATCTTATCACAATATGCTTTTCACTAGGGCTGGGTATCATTATGAAGTTGCCGATACGATACATACCTCGATACACAGGCCACGATACGATACATATCTCGATACAGTGCACTTTCGATTCGATATATATTTCAAATCGATTCGATACAGTTCAATAAAAAATAAAGGCTAAATCATGGCTGTGATACTAAAAGTCTTTGTTAAACCACTTCTTGTGCAAAGTTCATATGAAACACAAACATTTTAATCCTCAAAACAGAGTCAAAATGTCAAATGTGTTGCATAAATGAGTTTCCTTTCACTCCACAAGCAACAAAACTGTAGCTCTGTAACAAAATAATTTAGTAAAACACACGTAAAAATACTCTTGGTGATATATCGATACAGTAGCCCAAGATATCGATACTGTATCATCACATTAAACGATACGATATATCGATATTCCGATATTTTTGCACACCCCTACTTTTCACAGTACGATATTTTGTGGAGGCAAACAAAACTGTTAATATGCTACTTTTTCTTCTTAAAATAACAAGACTTAATCCAAAGAACTAAGACTTAAAAGTGTTAGAACTGTTACTTCTTCATGGAGTCTAGACTAAAATGGAGCAAAGGATCATGGTCAATGTAGTTCTCTCTGTCTTTTTCAGCTATTGCTGCACCAGAACTCTTAATTTAATTATTGTGAGAAGTTTGACGATACGATATCATGATATTTTGATTATTGTTACATCCCTAGCGCCCACTAATCTGAGTCCACACAGAGCCAGAATTTTCTGACAAAAACATTTTGTTGATACTAGGGGTGTAACGATATCCAAGTCTCACGATACGATATTTATTGCGATATTTTGTGGAGGTTAACAAAACTGTTAATATGCTACTTTTTCCATCTTAAAATGTCTTGACAAGACTTAATCCAAAGAACTAAGACTTAAAAGTGTTAGAACTGTTATTTTACTTGTCGTCTGCACTGAAATGGAGCAAAGGATCATGGTCTATGTAGTTCCCTCTGTCTTTTTTTAGTTATTGCTGCACCAGAACTCTTAATTTAAGCAAAGAGACTTGTAATTTGATATATTGTGATGGTCCACGATATTATTGTGAGAACTTTGATGATGTGATATCACGACATTTCAGTTATTGTTACATTCCTACTTAATAGGCGAGTTTCATTGTTGACAAAAGCGCGCGTTGCATGCTGGGAATTATTTTGGTCGGCGGCAAGAAACACTAATTCAACATGACGGACGGAGCGAGAAAGCACGTAAAGGGGATTGATCCCGGTTATTTATCCACTCTAACGGCAGAGGACCCAAGACCATTTGACCAGAAATTGGTCATAAGCATCGACGGACGACAAATCACCCTTTTCAACCCCGACAAAAGGTGGACCAAACCAAATTTCTGGTCAGAATCACCAACTACCTGGACAAATATTCACTTTGGTGATATCCACAATGACTTGGTGGAAACTCCTGGGCCATTCACAGCAGAAAAGATGAAAACCTCCAAGAGTCTCGATGTGTTGTTGAACTTGTTGGAGTCCACGGTTTGTTAGGATCTTCTACATTTGCTCTGCGAGTGTTTGAAAGCCGTTTAATTCACCGTTAGCGGTTCTTTTCACTCAGAATATGAAAAAGACATTTTCTTTCTTCCGTGCTTCTATTTGTGCATCCGATAATGCAGCAGGAATTTACCATTATCAGGGATAAATACGTGAGGTTACGCACTGTGTTTGACAGCTATCCTGTTTGTCTCCGACCAAAATATTTCCCAGCATGCAACGCGGGCTTTTAATAACAATAACTCGCCTATAGGGTACTCGCTAACAAACCTTGTACACCAAATGTTTTCAAATATGTTTGAAATGGTAAATATGATGATGCTCATTTACCCAGAATGTTGTTTTAAAATTGAATGAAGTCTGTGGCCCGTTGTGATTGGCTAAAACTAATAAAACTGAGAGTCTCTCCTCTTCTTGAACAATATCTACAGGAGCCATTCCAGACAGTTGATGGGTAAAACTGAAATTCGAGCACAATCACATTAGGTTAAAAGAAAATGAAACGTGATGACAGGTTTCTATTTCAAAAACAAACCCGTGCAGAGCTCAACCTTCCCGTCAGTCTCAAACTAAAGTGACTGATCAAAAGTTTTAATGAGACACACATCGAAACTAAAAAAGATTTATTCATACATAACTACATTTCTTATTTACAACAAACTCATGAATCGGTGACTATGTGTTTATTCCTCTGATCTTCATCTTTAAAACAAAAGACAGCGTAGACGTAGACGTAGACGTAGATGTGTTCTTCAGAAGCGTGTGGAGAAACCTCTGAGCTCCAGTTTGTCGATGCTCCTCTGGTTGGAGAAGGACGCTCTGGTGATGCGAGAGCTGGGACTGCCCTCTTTAGCCAGCCACACCTTCCTACGAACAACCACAACATGAGAGAGTCACAACTAACGCACTACAAACACAAAAGCTGGGATTCCACACTTCTCAGGGAAATGGAATGAACTGATCCAAACCTTTAAGACCCCATATTCTTCTATTTTCTATGTTCTAATGTCGTTTCCTCATCACAAACAGACCTGGAGTTGTGTTTTGTTTCATTCACACAAGTTTAACACACAAACTCTGCAGATGTAGGTTGAGTTCTCTGCAGCAAAGAACCTGAAGAAGCTGAAGTTCGGTAGCTTGGCTTGATACCAGCTTTGACAAGTGCCTTCTGCTATTGTGTCCATGAGCAAGACTCTTAAGAACAGCCGTGGGTATAGACACGACCGCAAAAGTAACTAAGGGTGAAGTGGATGAATTATGAATGAGGTTTGAGACACTCTGAGTCCCAGTAATGGTTCATCAGACCAATGTAATATTTAAACCAATTACTAAAGTACCTGTCTAGTCACTAACCAGATGCTCAGTGCAGAACAGAGACCAGACCTGAGACTAGACCTGAGACCAGACCTGAGACCAGACCTGAGACTAGACCAGAGACCAGACCTGAGACTAGACCAGAGACCAGACCAGAGACCAGACCTGAGACCAGACCAGAGACCAGACCTGAGACCAGACCAGAGACCAGAGACCTAGAGACTAGACCTGAGACCAGACCTGAGACCAGACCAGAGACCAGAGACCTGAGACCAGACCAGACCAGAGACCAGACCAGAGACCAGACCTAGAGAGACCAGAGACCTGAGACCAGACCTGAGACCAGACTGAGACCAGACCAGACCTGACCTGAGACCAGACCAGAGACCAGAGACCAGAGACTGAGACCTGAGACCAGACCTGAGACCAGACCAGAGACCAGACCTGAGAGACCAGACCTGAGACCAGACCACCTGAGACCAGACTAGAGACCAGACCAGACCTGAGACCAGACCAGAGACCAGACCAGAGACCAGACCTGAGACCAGACCTGAGACCAGACCTGAGACCAGACCAGAGACCAGACCAGAGACCAGACCTGAGACCAGACCTGAGACCAGACCTGAGACCAGACCTGAGACCAGACCAGAGAGACCAGACTAGAGACCAGACTAGACCAGACCTGAGACCAGACCTGAGACCAGACCAGAGACCAGACCTAGACCAGACCAGACCAGAGACCAGACCAGAGACCAGACTAGAGACCAGACCAGAGACTAGACCAGAGACCAGACTAGAGACCAGACTAGAGACCAGACCAGAGACCAGACTAGAGACCAGACCAGAGACTAGACCAGAGACCAGACTAGAGACCAGAGACCAGAAGACCAGACTAGAGACCAGACCAGAGACTAGACCAGAGACCAGACCAGAGACCAGACTAGAGACCAGACCAGAGACCAGACCAGACCAGAGACCAGACCAGAGACCAGACTAGAGACCAGACTAGAGACCAGAGACCAGACTAGAGACCAGACTAGAGACCAGACCAGAGACTAGACCAGAGACCAGACTAGAGACCAGACCAGAGACCAGACTAGAGACCAGACCAGAGACCAGACCAGAGACCAGACTAGAGACCAGACCAGAGACCAGACTAGAGACCAGACCAGAGACCAGACTAGAGAGACTAGACCAAAGACCAGACCAAAGAGCAGACCAGAGACCAGACCAGAGACAAGAGACCAGATACAAGACCAGAGACTAGAAACTAGACCAGACCAGAGACCATAGACCAGATGGTCAGTGGTACCAATTCTTTAGACTTCAAATACGTGGTAAAGTCTACACTCACGTAAATCACCAGAAAAGCTTTATTCTGGATTGTAGATACTGTTTTAGTGTTATTGTTTTCAGGGATAAGATATCTCCTGCCCTCTGCTGGAGACAGTTGGAAATGAAGTAATTGAATGTAATAAATGAGCAGCATTGTTAACGTGACACTAACAAATAAAATGAAAAAAATATAGGGTTTGTTGGATAAGACGTGGCGAGAAATGGGATGATGAAGAGTGGGAAGAGACATTCAGTAAAAAGTCATTTGGCAACGCAAAATGAAAACCAAAAAAATCATCTCGTGTGATTTTACCGAGAACACTTCTCTAAAGACACATAGGACTAACTCAGTAGCCTTTCTGTGACACCTAAGTGAAAAACACGAGAAAAGCAATGAGCGATATCTCAGTATTAATATCAATATTGGCCAAAATGAAGGTTTGGTCATTTTTTGATAGTAGAATTTATTTTTATAAGTTGCCCCAGTCTCTGTGTGATCAGTTTGTTCTCAGTGCATCAGATTCTGAACAGACTAGTGACTTACAATGGAAATCAAAGAGGTGTGAAGCTAAAAGAGTCAACTTATCTTATCTGGGGTTTTTATTTTGCTCTTTTGTTCGTAAATCAAACTGCAGCCTCGGTGAGCTTCATTTGACTGAAGCCGAAAACTGTGGGTGACGTCACAGTCCCTCGGTCCACTTTTATACTTTTATACAGTCGATGAGATTTGCCTGCAGACGTTTGTGTTTAACCCTGCAGCTGTTCACACATGCAGCTGTTCAACTCCTGAGCCTCTGGTGAGCAGCTGTGACCAGAGACCAGAGACTAGACAACAGACCAGACCAGAGACTAGACCAGAGACCAGACCAGAGACCAGACCAGAGACTAGACCAGAGACTAGACCAGAGACCAGACCAGAGACCAGAGACCAGAGACCAGACCAGAGACTAGAGACTAGACCAGAGACCAGAGACCAGAGACCAGACCAGAGACTAGACCAGAGACTAGACCAGAGACCAGACCAGAGACTAGACCAGAGACCAGACCAGAGACCAGAGAGACCAGAGACTAGACCAGAGACCAGACCAGAGACTAGACCAGAGACCAGAGACCAGAGACCAGACCAGACCAGAGAGAGACCAGAGACCAGACCAGAGACCAGACCAGAGACCAGAAGAGACCAGAGACTAGACCAGAGACTAGACCAGAGACTAGACCAGAGACTAGACCAGAGACCAGACCAGAGACCAGACAAGAGACCAGACCAGAGACCAAAGACCAGAGACTAGACCAGAGACTAGACTTGAGACCAGAACAAAGACCAGACCAGAGACTAGACCAGAGACCAGACCAGAGACTAGACCAGAGACCAGACCACAGACCAGACCTGAGACCAGACCTGAGACTAGACCAGAGACCAGACCTGAGACCAGAGACCAGACCAGAGACTAGAGACCAGAGACTATTCTGAAGACCAGACCAGAGACTAAACCTGAGACTAGACCAGGGACCAGAGTCTAGACCAGAGTCCAGACCAGAGACCAGACCAGAGACCAGACCAGAGACTAGACCAGAGACCAGACCAGACCAGAGACTAGACCAGAGACCAGACCAGAGACTAGACCAGAGACCAGACCAGAGACCAGAGACCAGACCAGAGACTAGACCAGAGACCAGACCAGAGACCAGACCTAGACCAGAGACCAGACCAGAGACTAGACCTGAGACTAGACCAGGGACCAGAGTCCAGACCAGAGACTCCAGACCAGAGACTAGACCTGAGACTAGAACAGGGACCAGAGTCCAGACCAGAGACCAGACCAGAGACCAGACCAGAGACCAGACCAGAGACTAGACCAGAGACCAGACCTGAGACCAGACCTGAGACTAGAACAGGGACCAGAGTCCAGACCAGAGTCCAGACCAGAGACCAGACCAGAGACCAGAGACCAGACCAGAGACCAGACCAGAGACTAGACCAGAGACCAGAGACCAGAGAAGTGCAGAGAAAGAGACGAGAAGCCTGTGAAAGCGGTCGATCGCTATCGCACTTTTGCAGCCTCATCAAAACTTCATCTCTTTTATTTGTTAAGTGTAAACCCCGCCCACAGATGAGAACAGCCAATAGGAAACAGCCTCTGTCCTTCTCACTCACACATGATCGATTGCTTTGGCCTTGGCATCTTGGATCTTTGCTGTGAACTTTTTCCACTGTGAATTTTCCACTTTGAATTTTGACTGTTGAATTGGAGAGCTTGAAAATACATGTGCTGAATATTTAAAAACTAAATTTTTTTATTCAGAATTTGAAACATATTGAAAAAGTATTTCAGTAATTCAGAATAAAAATAATAAAAACATATTTTTTCAGAGTTAAAAAATTAAAAGTGAGAAATTTGGCAGTATTTAAAATTCAAAATCTAACAGAACAAATGATCTTCCACAGTCTGTCAGGACAGTGTCAGTGAACTGAACATAATGTGCGTCCTATCCTTGTTTCCCTAGTGGGATATGTGCTGATTGTGTTGTGATAGCGCTCTGAAGGGGGAGTGACTGTGCAGGGAGTGGACCGTAAGCAAAGGGAGGAAGAAAAATGAACGTTATAAAAGGTAACATGGTGATGTGAATGTCATGTGTGAGCAGTTCATTCCCCATAGAAGGAAAACTAAAAAGGTTTAAGTTGAGCCAAATTTAAAGAAATCCTGTGGGGCGTCATGGGACATTTCCAAACTGTCCTTATCTGTGACTTTTAAAATGTATTCCCCTACAGATTACAGATTACAGACCCCAAAATGTAGTTTGTAATGTAATGCAGTAAATTACTTAAGGTGATTAATGTAATCTGAATACTTTGGAGTACTTGATATTGTCATGTTTTTTAAAATGACATGAATGTTACAACAACATCCTGAAAATTCTTGTTTGTTCTCTTCAAATTGTCTGTTGAGCCCAAGTCTCCATGAACAGACTTTTGTTTACTGTCCTTTTAGTCCTGGTTTAGTCCTGGTTCAGTCCTGGTTTAGTCCTGGTTCAGTCCTGGTTCAGTCCTGGTTTAGTCCTGGTTCAGTCCTGGTTTAGTCCTGGTTCAGTCCTGGTTTAGTCCTGGTTCAGTCCTGGTTTAGTCCTGGTTCAGTCCTGTTTAGTCCTGTTTTCCTGGTTCAGTCCTGGTTCAGTCCTGGTTTAGACCTGGTTTAGACCTGGTTTAGTCCTGGTTAAGT